TGCCAATTACACACACTATAAAATTCTGTTCTGGGACCCAGAAAAATGCCTGGTGGAAAACAGATAAGCAGGTGACTCCTCAAGCAGGCTTATACAACTGCATATTGCCTCCAGTCCTTGGGCTACTTTCCCACTGTTCCAGACTTCCTGCCCCATGTCCAGCCTCCTCTATATTCAGAGGTATAAACAGCTCCATGGTATACTCTCAGTCTGCTTGCAGTGGTTGATGGAAAAAATCCAATATTTCCCTATGGTATCTGAGAGCTGGGGTGATACAGACATGCTTATAGTATTGTGCAAAGGGACAGGCAAGGGGTAATGCTTTTCTGTACTTATTTCCCTTACCTTTGAGCACTAAGTTCCTAAGCAGCAGCTGATCTCTCCTTAAGCTGGAGGCTGCAGTCTATAAGCTGTGTGCTCATTTCACATCAGAAATGTGATCTTTGCATCTGCAGGGACAGTTGATGTTCATCACAGCAGAATGGATGTATGAGGTTGGAAAAAGATTTGAGCAATATTTTCTAACCAGTGTTCAATTCTGTCTTCTCATATCAGCTTCTTGGTCACACTAAAGCTAATCAGAACAGAACCCTCAGCAGCTCAGACCAACAGCTCTGGCACAGACTGAGAGTTTGTGTGCAAGCTGGTCCAGTTGACAGTCCTGCATTTATGAGCCAAAGCCACAAATTGTTTTCTAGAAGAAACTAGTTAAGTGGGCACTAAACCATGGAAAGTTGCTGGATTCTTGACAGCAGAACAATACCAGAAAATCATGCAATGCTTCTTCTTGCTTCTAGCGGCAATGGGCAAGAAACTGAAATACAGGAGATTCCGTCTGAACACAAGGAAGAATTTTTTACTGTGAGATTGATAGAGCACTGAAACAGGCTGCCTGGAGAGGTTGCAGAGTCTCCTTCTCTGGAATAATTCAAAATAATTTTGGACATAATTCTGAGTAATGTGCTCTAGGGGGCCCTGCTTGAGCAGGGAGGTTGAACTAGATATCTCCAGTGATTCCTTCCAACCTTACCCACTCTGTGATCATGGGCTTCATTATAACATTTAAGTTCTGAATTCCCCTATGAGAGATTTAAAAATGTTGCATTTGAAAGGGTGAACAAAGATCTCTTCCTAAGTTTTGATTTATTAGGGCTGAAAATAATATATGTTTCTCTAATACCTAAGAAATGGTATCCATTTTCTCCCAAATACATTTCCCAAAAAGATAAAGGAAACTGAAACTGCATGAACTCTGAAATCTGACAGGTAAAGGACAACAGGATGAAATATAGTCAGTGTTTTGATACCCTTGTTTGTTTTCAGTGAACAGTTCTAGAATAAAGAGCTGGAGGGATGGTGTTGGACAGGAAAAACTTCACTGCAGTTTTCACAGATGAGTACACCAGCAGAAAGGTGGGTGAGGACGTTTGTCCCTACTTTCCCCATGCTCCGAGACTGGGTTACTGATTAACCTAAAAAAGCTAACATCTGCAGTGCATCAGGGAGCACACTGGAGACTGAGGTATCCTACAAAGACTGAGAAAATAGTATTAAAAACCCCACGAGAGTTTGCCTTCACCTTTAACAGCCTTTCTCTTCCTTCTTGCAGAGGAAAGATATCCTGATTGAAACCCACCTGTGCTGTGGCCATGCTGCACTCTGACTCCCCCCCACTTCCTATGGACACCTTGACTTGCTCTAGAGCTTTTCCTAAGTGAAAGCCAAGGGTGGAAATGTCATTGCTTAAGTGTTTAAAATGTCCTGGTGAATGTTTGTAGGGATGTACCATGACATTTTTCTCTGGTGATGGTGCTAAAGGGACCCTCATTGTTTCTGGGGTGCTTCCTCAGCCAAGGCACATGGAGAGAAAATCTTTCTCTCCATGGGGACAGCTCCCTGCCTTCCTGCCTTGGATCCCTCACAACACAGCTGAAGCAGCCCTCATGGCATCAGAAGTATCAGCAGGCACTGTGCTGCCACTGGAAAAAATGGGACCAAATGATGCTCTCACCTTGCTGAGGCTCAGTTGCACTAGACATCAAACCCCAAGTAAAGAGGGGAGTGTTGAAGCATTGAAGATGTTCTTAAAAGAATGAGCTAAAAACCTCAGTTGTGGCACTCCACACAAAATCTAGATTTCATCTATATGATAGAAGGCAGAGTAGAAAGCCCTCTACAGGAATCTGCTGAATCTGTGGGATTTCTCATCACACCTGGTAGCAGCCACCACTGCTCGCTGCTGAGACCACACAAGGGGTCAGGCACACATTGACCACCTGACAGGCTGTGACAAACTCTGAGGGGACAAGAGACCACAGATCCATCTGAAGGAACTGCCAGTATTGTCGACCCCTAAATACAGAGGAGAAATTATTTATTCCTACAACCCACAAAGTAAGACAATCTTTCCAGGTGTCTGTCTGGGCAGTCAGTAATAACTCAGAGTCTGTGAAGTGACAGGCAAAGAGGGAAAAAGAAGTAAAAGTGAAATAAATTTCTATCTCTAGCTCAGCTTCTGCACTTGAACAACTACACACAATAGACATGTGAAATGCTGAATTACACAAGAGTTGTTATGGGGCTCTGAGTAACATGGTCTGTGAGAGTTGTTCCTGCCCATGGCAGGGGGTTTGGAACTAGCTGGCCTGTGAGGTCCCTTCCAACCCAAACTTTTCTATGATTTTATTACATCTGAGCTCTCAGTGACTGCTCTTACCCAGCTGTTTTCTCCTACTCTGATATAAAGTCAAACCAAGATCAGTACTGTAGATAAGAATCTAAACTAATCCTGTAAATAATTTTTGTCCATAAACAACAATATTGTAAATAAGTAAAAACCTCTGAGAAGTCTTGAGGGAAATAAAAGTGTATTACACTGAGGCAATTACATATACTTTATATTAAGCAGACAAAGCCCACATGTTCTGGCTTCCTACACTCATTTTTCCAGCAGACACAAAAATATTACAATATTAGTTTGCAGAAAATACTTCAGGTCACTAAGTACATATTTCATCAGATTTTACTGCACCATTAAACACACTCATGTCCCATAACACACCATGCCTACACAGAGAGGGCTGTGGGAGCACAGCTTGGGTGTTGCTGGTTTCAGAGATGCAGCTCCTCAAGCAGTATCAACCAAGCTATATCCATGCTGATGTCAAGGAGAAATCCTACCTCCACTTTTTTTCTCCATGCCCATGTGTGCCCTCTTCTACCCTTATGCCAACAGCTACCATCCAATCAGCCTGATCAGGGACCTCTCAGGAGAATAATCTCAATTAAATCAAAAGAAAAATAAATGTAATTCCAACACAAAGAGGCATTATACTACACAGCCACTTTAAGTCTTTCCAGGGAGCTGAGTGTTTACAGACATCACTGAAGGCTTACTCGAGTGCCATGGTTCTCCCTAAAGAATGTATCAGATGTGCTGCTCCTGTGTGGATGTGTCTGATGCCCGTGTGCAACTGCAATTGGCAGCTGTGCCAAACCCCTCATGTCCAGGAGCTCTTGAAAGGGGATCTCACTCTTTCAACTCCTGATGGGGTTGAAGGGGCTGAAAAATACTGCCCCAAAAGTAACTCACCTCAGCTGTATTGGGATGTTCCCAGGCAGATCAGAGACAGTGCAGCTATGGTCTCTTGTAGAGGGAGAAAACAAAGAGATCTTTTTCAAACCAAGAGGACAAAATTACCTCAAGAAAAGGAGAAGGGAAAGAGCCCCTGTGTGAAGATCTGAAAATGGGATGATCCACTGAATCACAGCCAGGATAGCCATGAATCGGGGGGGAAATTGTTCCTGAGGCTTCCAAAAATGTGAAAATGGGGGTGGACAGAAGAATTTAACTGTTGAAAAAATTAAGGTTAGCATCAACACACGACCCATAGTTACCCATTACTGCTCCAAAGCTACAACTAAAGTAAATAAAAGAACAGAATATCAGTCTCACCCACAGACACCCAAGCAGCTCTAAAATATCATTAAGGTCTATCCAGAAAACTACCATGTTTAAAAAACAGCAATACTCATGCAACAACTCCAAGGAGCACAGGAGCAGGACTGAGGCAATTACATACACTTTCTATTAAGCACACAAAAGCCTCCCACCCTGACATGCAGGAGGGTTTCCCCATGCCAAGGGAATTCCCTGTTGCTGCCATCTTTTTTGCCAGCTGTACAAGCTCACAGCCTTGGGACCCTAATTCACAAAACCATTGGCTCCACATTCTTGTCTCCCAGTAAGAGACACCAGCTGTGGTCCTGGGAACCACTGCCACCAGCCATCAGCCCTGCTGCACCAGGGACCTGTGCACAGGAATTCTCAGTTTTCCTTTACTCTGAGAGCATGGGGCTGAAAAATGCACCCTGCCAAATGAATATCCACCCAGGAACAAATGCAGAATCCAGGGGGAAAGTTTTTGGGACTTTCTTCAGGCTACCACCTGCTACTGGGCTGTTCCTAGAAAAGGAGAGCAGATAGTTGCAAGCCATTTTATGCACAGTTTATACCAATACTTTACATCATGAAAAAGTGGTTTGCCTCTTATGCAGAGAAAATCAAGAATGTTGGGTATCCTTCCATGCCTTCTAGTTTGTGAAACAAAAAGCAGAGAAAAGGTAAAGGGTTTAATCAACCTCCAATTAATTTTTATTGTTAGCAGATGCTTCAAATTGCTAGCTCCCAGGGGCTGCTTTATTCTCTCTTTTGCAGTTGCCTAAATCCATTGTCAGCACTGACAGCAACACAGATGACAAAAACCAGTGATTCTCTAGCACAGAACAGCTATGCCCAGTTCCTACTCAGAAAGGACTGCTCAGAGGGGGAGCCAGGGCAGTGCTGGCTGAACAATGGGGTAAAGAAGGAGCAGAGCCAGCAGCAAACAGGTGCTGGAATGGGGCTCTTCAGAGGACACAGGAGAGAGGCTGAAATCAGTACCCCCCTCTCTCCCTCTTGCCCCTGGGCCCCACCATGGTGCTGCAGGGTGGGCACTTACCTTGTGCGTGCTGTACCAGGGGCCAGACAGGGACCCACTCCCGGTGCCTGGACCCCCAAAGGATGCATTCCCGGTGCCTGGGATGGTGTCCATGTCCCTGCCCCCAGGCCTCAGCCACTGGCCATGCCATGCACTGTCACACCCGTGGGGAGGGGTGGCTGTGAGAGAGGCGAACAGGACGAGGACGTGGCACTCTCTTCCTGGTGTGGGGAAGGCTCCTCACATGGGTCACTCTGCACACAGGTGTGTGCAGCCTGGGCTGCATCTGCTGCTGTGCACCAGCACACCCTTAGCTGGGGAGCAGTTGGAGCATAACAGAGGAAGGGGAGCTTGACAGAAGGTTTTGCTGCTCCTTCCCAGGGCATTCAGGTGCCTTTTTTTCCTGTCTCTGACTTCCCCAATGCCCCACCCTGCTCTGAAGAGGCAGCCTGGGAATTTAACTCCTTCAAAACAGCGCCTAAATCTAATAGTCAAGTATTAATTCCTCATTGCTAGATTGCAAAACTTAGAAGTTGTTGTTCCCAAAGACAGATAGTCACTTACATAAATTCTTACTTATATCCTGATTTTTCTCTTCCAGCTATTTCCTGAATAGTTTCTTTGGAGACACTTCAGGCAATGTGCTTGTTCCCAGTCCGTGGCTTTATTCATTCATTCTTTTAGTTTTGATTTGATCATTTATTTCTTCTGGGGAAAACAACAACTAAACAAGCTTATTAAAGGGAGTGTAGAGCAGAATTACAATAGGAGACAGGAACAGGCTTCTAGGGAAGCACAGAAAGGAATATTAAGACACCACATCTTCAGGCTCTGGACAATAGAGCTGTGTGCAATCCAGAGGGCTCATACTGTACCTTGGAGGAACTGACTTGTCAATTCATTCCATTGCTTTAGCTGGGTTTGAATACACCTGAAGCCCTGACAATTATTGCAGCAGACAAGGGTCAGTGGGCAGTTATTCTGCTCCCTGCTACAATGGTTTTCTCCAGTTCATAAGAACTGGCACTGATTGCTAAGTCCCAGTAGGGCCCGTGGCCCTACCATCAGCAAGATGCATCCAGAGAGAGAACAAGTCAGCATGCAGGATAGCAGGCTGGGGATTGAGCTTCCAGCAGGCAAGGAGATACGATCCATAATAGAAATGAGCAGCAGCAAAGCTGACTGCCAGTATGATTTATTTGGTCAAAAATAGAAGAAATACACAATTACAGGAAAGAAACTGTAATTAAATTAATACCTTCCAACTTGGACGCATAATGTCTCAGCCACAAGGATGTTATTTGAATCCAGACAGAAGGTGATATAGAAAACACAGAAATGGCAAGGTAATGCTTCAGTTAGATGATGGTATAACACCCCAAAATACAAAATCTTATAACAATGAATGTTTTGTTCATGTGTGTGGCCTAACTTGAAATACTAGTTTCTGTGATCACAGCTCCAGTGTATCCTTCGTAAATATTGGAATTAGCTGCAGCCATGTCTATATAGGTATGCTGGAAAAAAATAGATCCAGTATTTTATGTCTGTAAATTGCTGCAGATATTTTTACAGTGTTGTGTAATTATTCTCTGCAGTCTAAGCTTACATTATAGAAAAAAAATTCTAGGCGATCTGGGTTATGGTTGCAAAAGAACCAGTGCAGTGAAACTGAAGTGTAAACTGCTGCAATGATATTTGCCCCGTCTAGAGAGAGTTGAAACAATAGCCCAGAGGGAAGTGTGAAAGGACCCATTCTTCTAACTGGAGCACTAAACTAGAAGTCTGCTGACAATTTAAGTGTCAACATCAGCTACTTCAAGGCGGATCATCTGAGCAGAAACACCAGGCTAATGTTCTTATTTGTCATCCTCAATTTGCACTTGTTGTATAGCAGATCCTGGGGAGGAGAGGAAAAGCAGCAATGATTGTCAAAGGTTGCTGCGCTGAGGGAAGTTCTCCCATTCCTCACCCTTCTTCACACAGTCACCTCTGCCCCAGCTCAAAATAGGGATCAGAGAGGTTGATGCTCCCGCAGGCTGGATAAATTGTCCTTGGTAGCCAAAAGCCACAGTGGTCCCTATCAGCCTGACAACAACCTTTTCAGTATGGTTCTCTGTTGCCAAAAATGCCCAGATTGGTAGAAGATTGAAAAGGAGTGTAAGGGGAGTGGGAGGAGAGGAGAGGAGCAGCCCAAAATATCTCTTGGGGACAGTTGCTGTTGTTTTGCTTCATTCTTGTTGGTTCACTGCCTAAAATACAAATGTGACTGTGGTTTTCTCTTGCATAAGAAAGCTATTGGAACAGGTTTTCTGTAATGCTGTCTACATGGAGCCCTTGTTGAATTGCTTTTGAAGTTGATCTAACAGTGACAGATCGTTTTCCACAGTTGGGTCCAGACTACCAACTCAGTCTAAACATGCCAGGGACCCTTATGGCATCCTTTATTTATTAAAGATCTCTGATTGTCTTGCATTTAAAACTGTTATTCAGTTATTCAGATTAATTGAACTTTTCTTTACATTGTAAGTCAGCCGTATTAAAATATTAAAGAATATTTAAAAGACTATTTCTGCTCAGTTACTACCCCCCATTAGAAAAAACATTTAACTATGTGCCAAAGTCCCTATACTTGTGCTTTTCCATTTTCAGGCCAAAAAAGTCCTTGGAATTGGAACCTCAAGTATCCTGAGGAAATGTCCCTTGAAATGGAAGCAGAAGATGGGATCTGCAGGATGTTTTAACTGAGAACATTACTCTCATTTTACAGGGGTGCACAGCTATGCTGAAAGTTTGTTCCCAAAGTCCAGTTCTGTTTGAGGGTCCTTCAAACCAGGGGTGTCCTCTGCCAGCTGGACCAGTAGAATAGACTACAGCCACTTCAAAAACATGGAAATATAAGGCGTTTTCAGTGGGTACTACAGTACATTAGTAAGGTCATATCACTGGGAATATGTGCAGAATGCATAATGAACAAATAAATCTCTGCCTGTGTAATTTTGGTTATTGTCTTTGTTGTACTGTGGGAAAACTGGGGTAGCTCAAAAAATACCACAAGTATCTTCAGAAAGGTGACCTGATTTGCTGTTGTTGGATCTGTCTGTTTTTACACCTGGGCAAAGGCAACAGAAGTGCAGATTTGTGTCTCTGTGGTGGCTGAACCACATCAGTATAAGGACAGGACTGTTTCTTCCTCACTCCCATGGAGTAGCACACAGCACAAGGTAGCACCTATGAAGATGGAGTGAATGCTGCTTGAGATGATTGGCTGAAAAATCTCAAGGCTGGTTAAATGGAGTAATCTGCAAGGCGGCAGTATTTGACTCCTCCCATTCTATTGCCTGTCATTTTTGGGAAGAAGAGAAGGGACTTCACAGCCCGGGAGGTTCCATTCACCTTCTCTTGTGCATCCCATCAAGTTTTTAACATCTTGGGATACTTCTGAGCAATGGAGATGCAAGAGACTGTTTTGGGCATCAATTGCATGGATTCCCTCACTTGGATGCTGCATTTCTATCTGATATTCTTGGTCCAAGCATAGGCTGTTGTTAGCAATAGATAATGTTCCTCTGTTTGGTCACAAGGATTTGGAGGCTGCAATATATGCTTTGTTAGCTTCAGGTTCAGGTGATGTGGGACAGTGCCTGATCTGTGTGTCTCCCTGAACTCTGGCTTGTATGACATTGGGACCTCTTAAACCAACAGAGTCGGCAGTTCCTTACCCCTGGTTGCTTTAGCCTCTGGAAGTCATCCATGAAGAGCTTGACCTGGTGCCCCCTCATTTGGGATACTCAATGCACGTGGGTGTCTGAAGAGGAAACGAGGACTTTTCATGTTTGCTTGCCCATGACCCATCACTTCTCTGAGCTTACACTGCCACTGTAGATGAGCCACACTCTCAGCTGAGAAGAGTCCCTTGACTACTGAGCTCTGGTCACAGTTACTGAGACATCCTAAGACAGAAAATTAAAGAGTCAAGGGTTTCCTTCTCTGCCAAGTAGGAAAACAGCCCTTTGTCCAGGGTACTTAGGTGTTCCACTGTGAGGATACAGTCCAGGTGATGGGAAGTTCAGTGTTGGGATGGATGGTTCCAGCTGGGTGGTATAGGAGAGAGTTGAAGACCTTGCTTTTACCTGCTCTTCAGAGGACCCTGCTGCTAGTGCCAGATGAGTGCCAAAAGATGAGTGCTGATCTTGAGCAGGATGATCAGACGTGTTTTGGAGTTAAATGTCTACAAGCAGACTTTTGCTGGGTCACTCACTATGTGAAAGGCTGCACCTGTGAGCTGAGGATCTACCTGGAGTGGGTTGCAGGCAGGGAATATGTGTAATGGATAGTGCAGGAAAATTTGTGGAAGATGAGTACCAAGAGTCAGTTGATTTTTACAAGCAGCTTTCATCTCCCTTCCCCCAGCAGCTTTACAAGATCGTGGTGCAAGTATGTACTACTTCATATGCTAGCAATTACAGTCCTTTGGAAAGTTGCTTTCCATCTTAAAGTCTACAAATGTACAAAAAATAGAAGTTCTGGAATCAAGATGTACGTTACAGACCTTGGAGAAGGCCTTTGTCCTTCCTTTCTGCATAGTGGATCAGCGAGAGATTTGTAGACTTTGGACATTTTCATTTTTGCCTTTTATACCCTACCAATTTAGGCTTAATCCTGAGCCTTTTAAAATCAATGTCAGAGTTCCCACTAACTTCAAAAGAGACAGCCTCAGCTTTCAAATACTTTAAAGAATAATTTTAAGCAAACAAACCCAAAATGGATAAAAACTGCATTTTCTCTCTCTATTAGGCATGCAACTTATTTTCTCCAAACGTAAACGTTACCTGGAGAACTAAGCAGTGATGTGGTTTTTATTATTTCTTTAGGAGGCTACAGTACCCAAAGTATATTCCATACATACTTCTTCATTTAGGAGCCAAACACAGCTATGTAAAGTGAGTGGCTTGTTTACAGTAGGCCCTTATGTCTTGCTATCAAATTAGTGGCAAATCAAGACTGCAGTAAACAGAGGTCAAAGATCAAACCCACAATTTCACATAAAATTCCAGACCATGTACACAAAATTTAAAATGCAAAATCTTCAAATCACAAGACCATCAACTGCTCTTAAAACTAATCAA